CCGGAAAATCAAGGAACAAAAAAGTAGGAAAATAAAAACTTTCCCACGGTTTCCCGGAAAATCAGAGCGACCACCGGAAAAAGAAGAATAACATTTGGAGGGAAGCGAAAAAAATAAAAGCGAGAGAGAGAATAGGGAGGGGGAGGGAAGTGGAAACCCTAGAGAGATTTTTTCTGTTTTTTAGTTCAAAAGATTCGTGGGGGAATGATATATAGAGGTGGTGATGGACGGCTGTGATGGTTGGGGAGAGAGGAAGCGGATGATCCGGGGGAACGAGTTGGACCAATCAGGAGAGGAGGAACAACTAAGAGAAGTGTGGAGTTGGGTGTATGGTGTCTAAATTAGGAATGTGAGGGAATTAAACATGGGGTGGGGTCAAACGACGCAATCTGATTGGATCCAGTAAGTAATAAAAAATGGATGAAAGTGGTTTCGGTCTGTGTGTCATCATGAAATTATTATTATCTTATCAAACAACCAAAGAGTTTTTCTTTTTCTTCAAACAACCAGAACCGTTGAGGCTAAAACCAACTTTTCATTTTTTTTTTTTTACCATATAAAATTAGTTGATTTTAATCTTTAATTTTTAATTTTATAATATGATATTCTTAATTTTTTATCTTATAAAATTAGTAGATTTTAAACCCTCACCTTATAAAGTTAGTAGGTTTTAGCCATCACATTATATTATAACACTTTTAACCCCTTATTTATACAAATGGAAGAAAATAATCATTATTTAACATTAGGTTATAATGTTCTATTAATTCTATTAACTGACTATTTACATCTGTTAGTATTCCATTAATGGAACTAACAAATAAAATTGAATTTAAATTTCATGTTTTTTATAACGGAATGCTAACGGATATTAATAGTCAACTAATAAAACTAACAGAATGTTATAAACTGATGTTAAGTGAGGGTTATTTTCTTTAATTCATATTGGTGAGGAGCTAAAAATATCATAATATAAGATAAGTGGTTAAAATGTACCAACTTTGTAAGGTAAAGGGCTAAAACTTATTAATTTTATAAGATAAAAGACTAAAATTATCATATTATAAGGTGAAGAGTTAAAACTTACCAATTTTGTAAAGTGAGAAGTTAAGAGTTGGTTTTTGCTAAGAGTTGAAGAAAAAACTTTAGGGGAGCTCACTGGGCGTACAAGGCCAACTTTGTTATAGAGTATTTTATTGAAAAAGTTATTTTTTTTAATGAATTACAATTTTTTTAAGAAAAAAGAATTTGGACTCTAATTTTAAAATTGAAGATATATCTTACAATAAGACATATAATTATTGGGTCATAAAATTCAAGTGTTATTAAAAAAATTATTAAAAAAGTATTGTATAAAAGATTTATATATATTGCGTAAAAAGTTAATACATTTTATAGTGAAATTTTATTAAAATTTTGTTAAATTATTAATTTTTTACATTTAATAAGAAACTAATTAAGAAAAATTGATAAAAAAAATTGTTAAATGAGTCTTATAAGAAAATAAAAAAAATATTTATTGGTGAAGAATAATGTAAAAAATAAAGATAAAAAATATCACTTTTATTATCTTTTTATTATAGTATTATTATATAAAAATATGTAAATAACTTACAGAAAAGAAAGTTTAGAAACTTTAAGGAACAAATTTCACCAACCACACACCCCTAGATATGTGCTTATCCCCACCCATTCATTTGTTAAACTAATCAAATTGTGTTTAAAAAATTCTAATTTTATTTGATTTTATTATTAAAAACAATTAATATTTATTATTTATTATTTAATTATTTTAAATCTTAATTATTATTATTATATTACCTAAGTTGTTGGCAAGATCATTAAAGGCATATTCCTCTTTTCTAGTACTAAAGGGTCAACAGACACCTTTTTTGGCAATCTACTGAAGATACATAGGTAGGGTGGGGTCAAAGGACAGAATCGAAAGTCTTTTTTTTTTTTTTTCCTTTTTTTATTAGATCCAAGTAAAATAAAAAAGGATGAAAGTGGTTAGTGCCATCATGACTTAATTATCTTACTAAAAAAATCATAGTTCATATTCACAATTTTATCCCTAAATGAAGTTCACATTACTGTAATGTATATGTAAGTGCTCTAAAATTTAATTATTAAAATTATTACATTCAAGTAAAAGCTGAACTTAGGAAACGAACAGCGTTGTCTCTATTATAGCTGCAGAGTGCAGAGCGCACAGAAGCCACCATCCGGATTTTGATCTTTGTAGAATCATTCTCTCGCTTCAATCTATCTTTGGTAATGCTTATATTTCTTTTTCATGTCTGTTGCTTATTTTGCTTTTTCCCTCGAGAATTCTAGGTTACCAAACAGGGGATGTGAATGATGGTTCTCTGTTTGGTTGTTAAGAAATTTGGAGATATGCGGCCAAACCCCAAATCCGCCCTCAAATATAAGGCAGAGATAAATTTGTCTCAAATAAAAAAAAAAATGAAAGAGTTAAATTGTTCTTCCTTTTTTTCTATTTTCTTTTTTTGTAAATTGGTACAATTTTTGAAGAATGGGGGAGGAAAATAGGTCACGAACCCTCAAGCCTGATCAAGTGAATGGCAAGTAATGCTGTTTCCACCTATTTTATAAGCCATACCTATTTTATAAGCCATGTTTGACTTAAGTTATTTTTTTAAGTAATTAATTAAGATGAATTATTTATTATATAATATGTGATGTCATTATGTATCATTTTTTTAAAAAAAAATTTAGATGATAAATAAATTCTTCACATGTAATGATATTATATATTAAATAATAAATAATTTATTAAAAAAGATAATTTACCCCTACAATTTTTTTAAGAACATATATGTTCCTTCCACCTTATTTTGAGATGGTTTTAGGGGTTTGGCCTATGTGGAGAAAGTATTTTCGAAATATTTTTCCTCCCTTTTATTTTATTTACCAGAGCACATATTTTTCCGTTCCTCGCTTTGGCCTTACAATCTGCATTTTTTTCATCTTCCTCTCTTTCCGACAGTGTTAGCTCGTTTCCGATCAATTTGAAGGTCCGATTCCGGTAAGTTACTGCACTCACTGAACCTCATATTTTGTTTCTATGATTTCCTAACTCAGATTAAGGAATGAATCAATTTGAACATCTGTAGTTAGCTCGCTTTCTTCGATCTTAGCTTAGTTTGTTGTGTTCTTTTTCTGATTTAATAGCAGTTTGTTGACACATCTAATCCAAGCCTTTAAAGTCATTCTGCTGATAAAAGGAAAAAAGAAAATCTAATCTAAGGCACATTCTAATTTATTCTAATTTATGTCTCCGTATTTAATTTGTTTATGTTTGTATTTTGTACAGTGGTATTGAGTGTTTGTTTTTTGGTAGGAATAGAGCTATTTTTTTGAAAAAAAAAAAAACAAGAATAAATTCAACTATATATTTTTTAATTTAAACAAATCATTTTAAATTTAATGTATAATATCAAATGATGTCGACAATCCGTTAATAATAAATTTATCAATAGTGCAATAAGTTAATAAATTACTGACTTTATTTAATATCACATATTACATTTAAGATTTATCTAACTTATATCTTAAACGTACAGATTAAGAATACAATAAATAAATTTTTTATAATTAATTCACGTTAAAAATTATAAAAATTGACATATATTTTAACATTATTAACACATGAATGATTTTAATTAGTTAATTAATTAAATTACTATCAATATTTATACTTTTAACAAAAATTAATTATGAAAAAATGTATTTATTATATTATTATCCTATGCCTTTATAGAAAAATCCTTAAATTTAAAGTAATTTATTTAAATTAAAATTTTTATGAGTAAATTTATCTTATTTTTTATTTAGAGTGAATCCATCTCAATTATCTAACTTTGGAATAGATTTAACCATTGTGCCTTACTTATATTGTTGGACCTTAGTAATGATTAAGTACGAGCTAAAAGTGCTAAATAATCGTTGAAGGCATATTCCTCTTTTCTAGTCTAGTCCTAAAGAGTCAAAGACACCTTTGGTTTACCCTTTTTTGGCAGTCTACTAAAGATACATACGTGGGGATGGATTGGGGTCAAAGGGCATAATCAAAGTTTTTTTTTCTTTTTTTCTTTTTTTATTAGATCCAATGATAGTAAAAAATGGATAGAAGTTGTTTGTGCCATCAAGACTTAATTATCTTACTTAAAAAACCTAACTCATATACACAATTTTATGTTTACAATGCTCAGACACAGACGTAGGACTTAATTCTTAAGATTATTACATTCAAGTAAAACCATGGCAATTTTTAAGTATGTTTGGATAAAATTAAAAAATTTAATTCACAATAAAAAAATATATACAATTTAAATTATATTTATTAAATTATATAATTAAATTATTAAATTGAGATTAATTCAAAATTATATTTTTATTTAATAATTTATATTTTATAATATAATATATTTAAATTATAAAACAAAAAACCAATTAAAAAATTTGTTATTTGTCATTAAAAAGGAAAAACACATATTTGGCAAAAAAAAATTTTAAATAGAAATAAAGTGAAATGTGAAAATTAAAAAATCACATATATCTCATGTAAAAAAAAAAAAGGAAAATCACATTGATGATTTGATGGATTAAAGAGAGAGAAAAATATATATCTATCATTACAACAATTCCTACCTGCGGCCGCCAAACCATTTACAATACTTTTTCTAAATTACAGAATTACCCATATATGTCGGTTATGTATAAGGATAAATCCGTCAAAACGAATTCCACACAGACTCCTAACGGCTACTTTTCACGCGTAGTGATAACGCACTATTTACAGATATAAAGCGCACAATTTCCGCTAAAAACTTCATTGCATCTCTTTCTCCGCTTGCTGTCTTTTGCGAAATCATTGACGATAACAACATCGGCGATCTGATTTCTTCCAACGAGCAATACCCAGAGGCGCATCAGCGATTGCTTTTCTGTTTTAGTTTCAATTTCGATATATTTAGTCCTGAGTTTCTTGTTCTTCCGGCTTTTGATTCTCTGTTTTTTGTTTTTTGTTTTATTGTTGTTCTCGATTGATTGACGAAGATCTTTGTTGGGTTTGTTGGGTTTTGTTTGACACAGGACCCATGACTCCTCCTGACAGGATGCGATCAAGAAGCCCGCTTCGTGAGCTTCTCAGAAGGAGAAATTCTCGAGATAATGTAAGTAAAATCGTACCATCCCTCTGCAAACTTTGTGTTTTTGCAGTTAATAGTTTGTTTTTCGAATCATGCATTGTGCCCTTTTGGAATTCTGGTTCTGAATTTAATGGGTTTTCTTGAATGTTGAAACTTTTTGTACAAGATTATGACAATTCTATATGCGTACCAGCTGTTTGATTAATGGCCTAAGAAGGGAAAAAAAAATTCAGCATCTTGTTTTTAACTGTTTTTATTGCAACTAAATTCAGCGGACCCATGTTGTTATCTTCACCGTTTATGTCTTAACTGTAGTGACAAAGCAATTCAGCATTGCAATTCATGTTCTTGACTGACTGATAGTCTGTTATAGTGATTCTTATTTTGAGATTTTGATTAATTTTTTCTTGTTATATGAGCAGCTCGATAGGTTCATACCAAATAGATCTGCCATGGATTTTGATTATGCGCACTACATGCTGACTGAAGGGGTGAAAGGGAAGGAGAACCCGTCTGGGCTATGCTCTCCATCTAGAGAGGCTTATCAGAAGAGATTGGCTGAGGCCCTCAATATGAACAGGACAAGAATCTTGGCATTCAAGAACAAGCCACCAACACCTCCAGTTGATCCCTTCCCACATGAGATGCTCTCATCTTCTATGCATCAAAAGAAACCCTCTAGGCCCCGGCGGTCTATTCCTCAGGTTTCCACTTTTCCTTTTGCTTTTTATATATTTATGTTGGGCATGATACGATTTAGTATATTTGATAAATCTTCAGATGATTTGAAAATTTACACTGTATTTTGATTTGGATGGAGTGCAACAGGCATTTGACAATAATGACACCATAGAAAGCTTAAACTAATTTTTGTGAAACAAGTATGAGATTCTGAATCAATAGATCAGAAGCTTTACTGGTGATCCTATTTTTTGCTCTTTTTTTTTTTTTTCCTTAAGTTTGAAGATTTCTGTAGAGTAATAGTTTGAAATTCATTTTGCAGAGTTCTGATCGGACACTTGATGCTCCTGATATTCTGGATGATTTTTACTTGAATTTACTTGACTGGGGAAGTAACAACATACTTGCCATCGCTCTGGATAAAAAACTATATCTATGGGATGCTTCAAACGGTTCTACATCAGAACTTTGCACAGTTGATGATGATGATGGCCCTGTAACGAGCATCAGTTGGGCTCCTGATGGGCAGCACATTGCAGTTGGCTTGAACAACTCCCATGTCCAGCTGTGGGATCATCATGCCGGGAGACGGGTTTGTGATTTATCCTGTTAGTTTGGTTATTGCCTTTCAGATTTCAGTGTAGGAAAAGAATTATTGATGACATTATTTGTGTTGAGTAATCATCATTTCTTTTTAATAATATTCTTTATTAATTCCTGCAGCTAAGAACATTGAGAGGTTGTCATCGGGGACGAGTAAACACATTAGCTTGGAACAATCACATACTTACAACAGGAGGAGCAGATGGTGGAATCATCAACAATGATGTTATGATTCGGGAACACACTGTAGAATCCTATAGGGGACACCACCAAGAAGTTTGTGGATTGAAATGGTCCTCTTCAGGTCGGCAATTGGCCAGTGGGGGAAATGATAACCTGCTTTTTATCTGGGACAGATTCATGGCTTCTTCAAATTCTCCCACACAGTGGCTTCACAGGCTTGAGGAACACACAGCTGCAGTGAAAGCCCTTGCTTGGTCTCCATTTCAGGGAAATTTGCTTGCCTCAGGAGGAGGTGGGGGTGATCAGAGCATTAAATTCTGGAACACTCACACTGGTGCTTGCTTGAATTCAGTGGACGCTGGCTCACAAGTCTCTGCTCTTTTATGGAACAAGCATGAACGTGAATTGCTTAGCTCTCATGGGTTTACACAGAATCAGCTCATATTGTGGAAATATCCATCAATGGTGAAGATGGCAGAGCTCACTGGCCACAGATCCAGAGTACTCTACATGACTGAGGTACCATTAAGTAGTGAATGCTGTCTTTAGTTTATGATTTTCCAAAATAATTGTTTGTCATTATTTGTGTACTAATATAATAACCTTCATTTTCTCCACAGAGCCCAGATGGATACACAGTGGCAACTGCAGCTGGGGATGAGACTCTGCGGTTCTGGAAGGTGTTTGGGACTCCAGAAGAAGTAAAGCCGGCACCTAAATCTGAACCATTTGCTTATGTGAACCGCATCCGATGAAGACCATAAAAAAGATAACAGCTTCTAAAGTGTTTCTTCTCCATTGAATTGGTGGTTAGAGTAGGTTTGTGGAATAGAAGGTATATAATAGGCTGGTATTATTAAGCTGATGTTTGGTTTTTCTATTTTGACCATAGCCCGATGCTTATTGTTTAACTTTTAAAATATGTATAGTTAAATTGATGTAAATATCTGAGAATTTTTTTGGTTTAGGATTGTCCAAATGTCAATCTCGACATTGGAAGAACAATTTTCCCTGTAAAGTTCTTATACTCCCTTCCTCCCAGAGGGACTTCATTTTATTAATAATAATTTTTTTATACTTTACATAATCGATAATTATTCCCTGTATGCACTATTTCACATTCGAACTGAAAATAATTGAAACTCTTTTTCTTTTTTTTTATCTAATAATATCAAATATGTTTTGTGTAGTTTTAATTATACAAAATTAATTATTAGATAAAGGTGAGTAATTTAGACTACAAAAAATAATTATTAGATGAAAATCGATTCTTTGATATAAGTGCAAGCCTTACTTCATCTGAAGTAGAAAATCACAAGTTATAAAAAAAATATAAAGTTTAATATTTTGTAATTTAAATTATAAAACATCAACAAGTGGATTTGGATAGATAAATTTACATCTATTATCAAGAGTCATTTTTCATTTAATGATTAATATATTATAGTTTAATGTAATTTAAATTACAAAATACCCTCTTAAAAATATAAATATAATAAAAAATTAATCCATTGAATTACATAACCTAAACCATAAGATGAAAAGCTTGTCTTGTAATATTAACAACTATACTCTTGTTTAAGAGTTCATTTTCGTAATTTAGTATAGTCTCGACTAAACAAAATATAACAAATCCTTTGGACCTATTTGGTTATAATACCACCTTTATTAGAAAAGTTTTTTTGTTGGGAAAATGATTAAAAAATACTATACAAAAAGTTGATAAGTATCATATGAAATATTAATAAATTTGATAGTGAAATTTTATTCAAATTTTATTAGGTTATTAATTTTTTTGTATTTGATAAAAAATTGATATAAAAAAATTGATAGAATAATTATCAAGTGAGTTTCACATAAAAAAAAGTTA